TATCATCTGCAAATGCCAAAATTTGAACTGACTTATAGAATACAGTTCCCCTTGTGTTGATGTCTGCATCTCTAACTACCTTCTCTAATGCTATATTGAACAAAAGGCAGGCTAGGGAATCCCCTTGTCAAACTCCATTTCTAGTTATTATAGGGGTGGACAACATAGTCTGAATCTTAATTTGGCATTGGGTCTTTCTCATAGTGGTTCTGACTAAGGTGATTAACTTCCGTGGAATGTGCATCTCTTCCATTGCCAGAACAAGACTATCTCTATCTATGGAGTCATAGGCTGATCGGAAGTCGATGATGTGTTTCGATTTGGAATTCATTACACTTTTCAAGGACCTGGCGAATAGTGAAAATCTGATCGTTAGTTGATCTTCCTTGACGAAACCCACATTGGTAATCCCCAATTATGCCTTCCACAAAGAGAGAGAGTCTGTTAAATAAAATGTTGGAAAATATTTTATATGCTATGCACAACAGACTAATTCCTCTATAGTTAGAGCATACCATGACCTCGCCTTTCTTATGGATAGGGCATACAATACTTAGGTTCCATTCCTCTGAGATTATTTCAGTTATCCATATCTTAACTATTAGCTGATGTAAGTGGTTAGCATATTCTGGGCCTGCAAATTTCACTAATTCTGCCGTGATTAGATCCATTCCTGGAGCTTTATAATTTTTCAATTTTTTTGATAGCTTGTTCTACTTCTTTTATGGTTGGCGCTGGCTCTTCAGCCTCAAAAATTCCTTGATTCCGGTCTATGGTCATACCTTCCACTTGTTCAGAGGCTTGTTCATTTAATAATTCCTCAAAACATTGCACCCATCTTTCCAATATTGCTTCATTGCTACTCAATATCGTGCCTTCTTTATCTCTACATAAGGTTATTCTGGGTTGAAAGTCCTTTTGACTCGTGTTTAGTTTTTGATAAAACGCCCTAATTTCGTTTGAACTTCTTAAATGCTCCAGTTCAATCAGTTCTTGTTTATCACATTCCCTTTTCTTCTTTTTATGCAATCTTTTTTCTTTTCTTCTCACTTCACAGTATTCTTCCACGGCCCCTCGAGTATGGTTCCTTTGCTGCATTCTCTTATATGCCTGTTTTTTTTTATTATTTGTCACTTGCTCACCCTCTCCATCAAACCAATTCTTATACTTTATCCTTTCCATTTTTCCTAAGACTGCACCAGCAGCATTTATAATAACATCTCTGAGGCCCCTCCAAGCTTCACTGACATTCTCACTATCAGAGACCTGCCAGGCATTCACTGATTAATCCAGTATATCTGGTTGCAACTCCTTGTTCCACCAATTTTCCACAATTCAATTTCTTAGCCTGGGATCCATGTATCTTCCTTGCATTAGATATTCGACTTCTAATCTTTGATATTATTAAGTAATGATCAGAGTCAATGTTGGCCCCCCTGTAGCTCCTGACATCCATCAAATCTGAATGTCTTACATCTATTAGGATGTGATCAATTTGATTAAACACATTTCCATCAGGGGATTTCCAGGTTCATTTATGTATATCCTTGTGATTAAACATTGTACAATCTATTACCACGTTTCTTGAGGAAGCAAAATTTATTAATCTCAACCCATTATCGTTTGACTTGTTATGTAGGATATGTTTTCCAATAACCAATCTATATACATCCTCATTCCCCACTTTAACATTCATGTCCCCTATGATTATTTTACAATCCATTTTTGGACATTTTCTATATATTTTATCCAATTCATCAAAGAAGGAGTGTTTCTCCTCATCACTTTTATCTTCAGTTGGGGCACGTGCACAAATAAGGCTATAGTTAAAAACTTTCCCTTAATTCGTAGCCTACATGTTCTGTGAGATGTTGTCTGGAAGTCTAAAATAAGATGCTTCCTTTTTTTATTAACAATAAAACCTGTTCCAAACATGTGACTCTTCTGACAACTATAGAATACAACATGATCCCTCTTTTCCATGACTCCTTCACCCAACCACCTCAGTTCTTGTATAGCAGTGATATCTAGTTTATAGCTATCTAGTTGTTCAAGTAGCATTTTTAGTGCTCCGGCTCTGTAAAGAGATAATACATTCCAAGATCCAATTCTCAAATCCTTTAAACATTTTCCAGTTCGTCTTGAATAGGTCTGTCTGGCTACTCTTTCCTCGGATTTCTGAAGAATTTAGTTTTTACGGTGTGAGGTTGTCAGCCTCATGCCCAACCCCCAACCTGGAGGACCAGGGTATCCCTCTCTGTCTGGCTCCTACCCCTTGACCTGTCTGGCATGGGTGGCCCTACCAGTAGCTACACTACCGCCAGCATAGCTCTCAGGGTCTCAAGAGCTCTCAAACCCCACCACCATGATAAGGTGGAGATAATCCCCTTTGTCAATCATGTAAAATATCTGGGTATAATCTTTGATAAGAGGATTACATGGAAACTGCACATAGAAATGACTGAAGCCAAGGCCTTCAGAACATTTATTAGAATCTACTCCCTATTCAAAAGAGTGTTTAAGCACCAACATAAACTAACACTCCATAAAGTACTGATTAGATCAGTAATGACTTATGCTTGCCCCACCTACTTCTTAAAATTGCAGCACCTGCAAAACGAGGTTCTCTGTACCACTGGAAATTTTCCAAGGAGCACACAGCTTTCAAACTTATGAATGTATACAATTATACAACAAAACTGTGCAGGCAACAAGCAGAAGTCATTCAGAATCATGAGAATGAACATGTTCGCAACGTAGGACAAGGTGAAGCCAGTCATAGAAAATAAGGCTTAAATTTGGTGGTCGAGCTTATGACCGTTCAAGTGACTAAACTGCCGTTGTAGCATAAGATAAGTAAGACAGACATGATCTACTTTGTAAGCCTGTACTGACAGAGGACTTGTATATAGTGCAAAAGGAAGAATTTTCAATAACATGCCATATGTGTGATACATATATTTGACGAAAGACCAAGCATATTCATGAGAAGAACCCATCTTCTTGTTGGAGAGAGTGTTATGTAAGGACTATGACTCCAAGGGTTCAGCTGAAAAAAAGTTCTGATCATGAGCGTCAAGATGAACTGATTGGGGTCCACCCAGCCCCCTATCCAATGGGTGCCATGGGCTCTTTCCCTGGTGGTAAATTGCCTGGAGTGTGAAGCTGACCGCTCACCTCCAGCTGTTGCTGAGGCCAAGAAAATGTGGATCTATATATCCACTTCCCCACATGCCTTCATGGTGTAGTGCTTAATTAGTTAAGCACAAGAACAACTTTACCTTTTTACTGAACAATGTTGGGGACAGGACGGAACCTTGTGACACCCTTGCTTATATATATATCCCTTGATATAGACACTTCACCTTTGACCACAATCTGAATTTTCTCTGAGAAAGAAAAGAGCTAATAAGCTTGATGAGACTGGTTAAAATTTTTAATTCAGATTATTTATATAGCAAGCCAAGGTGCCAGGTTGTAGCAAGGGCTTTTTCAATATCCAAGAATACCATACCTGTACACGTTATTGTACAAATTTAAGGTGACATGGTCCATAAGTCTCATATATCAAAATTCATGCTGTAATGGGCATGGACACCAAACTGTCTTGCAATAAGTAGGCCTCTTCCTTCAATGTGCCTTTGGACTATTTTCAGAATAACTTTCTCAACTAGCTTGCCTGTTGTAGACAAGAGGCTAATCAGACATAAATTTTGAGGGATTTTGGGATCCTTACTAGGCTGTGGTAACATTATATATTTTTCTTCCTTCCAAGCCTTTAGAAATGGACAGCCAAGGGTAGTCACTAAATAAATGTGTCAGATGTACCAGTGGTCTTCTAGGAAGATGCCTAAGACATTCGCTTGAAATACCATAAAGTCCACAGGCCTTTCTCAATTTCAATGAATTTGCTAATTTCTGTATGTCACAAGGTCTTACTTTTCCATGCAGGGTGTCATCTACAGACGCGAGCAGAGCTTAGACTCTAGTCTCTATCCACTGCTCATGGTTTTCGTCACACAGGTCATGAGATGTGAACTGATTTTCTAAACAATCCACAGTAGCATTAGCTTTCTCATTCAGGTGTTGTTATTCCTAAAGGTCCTTTGGTCTACCCATACTCATGAGGTTTTGCAACAGACAAACCTGTCCTGCTTATAACATTTTGGCATGGACCGCATAGGAGACACTGCTTCCCATTATTGTTTTATCCAATTTTTGCTGTGGAAACATACTTGTTTTCAAAGCTGTTACTCAGTAACTGCTGTCTCTGCTGGCTTCAGTTTCTTGCCTTGAGAAAATATATCACAATATGAACAGCCATGTTACATACATTCTGATGGAAATGTGGAGGGTATTATTACTGTTTTTCAAGTGAGGGATCATAGTTATTTGTCAGCTGATTGATTATTTTGGAGAACTAAGAGGATATTGTATATAAAAGCTTCCATTTTTTGAATGAAGTATCGAGAGTTACTCTCAGAAATGGGTACAGTTAAATCACTGGGTGATGGAGTGGATACAAAAGACCTCCATCAAAATTACACAAAATTCTGTGTAATCTGTGATTGCAAGTGAACTCTCATAAGGATTCGCTTGGGTAAGGAGGGGTAATCAGAAGTGAATGGAGTTCATGGAGGTAGGCCTAGACCCACTGAGGCTGCAGCACAGAATAAGAAGAATAATAAGAAGAAGAATAAGAAGAAGAAGAAGAAGAAGAAGAAGAGGGGTAATAAGGCTAAAGCAATGGCACACTTGAATATAAATTCTGAAACGGACCCCAAAGTGATTCTTCAAGGAAAGGAAAGACATATTGTAAAATTAAGACAAAATTATGGGATCATAGAGTTGTTTAAGTTGCTTTTGCAAAGAACTAATTTGAACTTCTGTCAACAAAATATAATTTTTGTTTCAGTCAAACCAATACATGCCCATCAATCATTCATACAAAAGCAGGTATGTCTCAATTGTTCATTCAAAAGCAAATATGGCCACAATACTTGTTGTCATAGTCTTTTTATTTAAGCCGTATGCAGCTGCAATATATACCTGTGTAAGATCTCCATAGGTTGTACATTTCATTGTTTTATTTCAGTTAATATCTTGAGCATTTCAAAAGACAAATTATTTCCTTGTATCTTAATATACAAAATAAATATCAGACTTTGAATGTCTGTTCTACAATTGTTGACTTATAAACAATATTTTATACAGAATTCATAGGCATGTTTGTTTATGATCCATCTCCATAACGAATTTCATATTACAGATCCAATGTTCATCAGCCATTACCATCAAACAAAAATGTAAAAAAGTAAGTAAGTAAAGTTATCCCTGTAACGGGCCATGAAGGCCCATAGGGTTGTGAGACGCTGAGGGTCCCACATTATCTAGAAAAAGGTAAACATATAGTTCATGTAGACATCATTCTGTTGTTTTACATCCTACTAATAAGAGTTTGATATTTTCCAAAGCTTTCTTACTGTACATAACTTCAAGGCTCTAGATTAAGTGGTACTGCAGTCACTTGTAACTCACAAGTTCACGTGTCCACCATGCTGTTAAAACAGAGTGGATGAAATTAAAATGTAAGAGCCTAGGGCAATCTACAATGGCATAACCATATCATATTTCATGCAGAGCAGTCAGCTGGTTCCAAAGTACAACAAAAGGACAAGCACAAACAGCAGGGTGATCTCACAAGCCCACTCCTACTGTATGCCATGTTGAATATTGTTACTCAGAGAGCACATCAACAAATGCCTGAAGCATTTCCTCTTCTGTAATATCTTTTGGGTCCTGGGATACTCCATTTACTGGTTGCTCCTGCCTACCATTCCCTGTTATAGGTACTGCTGTACTGTCCTTAACTACACTTTGTGAACTTGTCTCCAGAGTTTCAGTATCCAACTTGTAATACTTTTTCACTGACTCTGGTGTATCTAGCTTTATCTTTTTTGGACTTGGTTCATTATCATCTTTCCAGCATACATGTAGGACTTGGCCATCACCTTGCCTCTCTTCTTTGTTTTCTGTTACTGAATGAGTTTTATTGACAGCACTAGTTTTAATGTTTGTAGCAATATCTTTGCTTCCTTTCCCCGTAGAAGCTTGGATGATATTCTCATATCTGTTATTTGCACTTGCACTGCTTATGTTACTTTTTTTCTGTTGCTGATAAGAAATTGATTTATTTTTATTACCTACATCTCTGGAAGTAGCCACTTTCTCTCTAGAATCTGCAGAACTTATAACTGATTGCTCTCTATTACAAGACACAGGTGATGTACAAGGGATTTTACTGTCTGTGTTGCTCTTGTAAGTTTCACTCACATCCCTTTCACAAACCTCAACACTACTACAGCTACAACTTTTATCTCTGATGACTAGGGAAGAGGCTGACCTTTCTTCTTTATGCTGAAATTCCTCATCAGATTCACTGATATTTACCAAAGTAATCTCTTGATCATGTGTTTTACTTAATATTTTTGATAACCCATATGACTGATTATTTTTCACACTGCTGTCCGATTCTTCAGAGTCTAGTGATACATCATTTTCTGAAATGTCTTGGTCTTCAGATTCAGATGTTTCACCACCATCATCTTCTACATCCATTCTGTCCTCATATACAATAACCACTTCTTCAGAGGAACTGGGTGCATTATTAATATTACTTGTGCCTTGTTCTGACTCATTTGATCCTCCTCTGCTATGAACACCTTTATTTGCCTCTTCCTCTTCAGAAGCCTCCAAAAAGCTGCTCGATTCCTTTGCTTTTGTGAGGTATTCTCGTTTATACCCTTTGGTTGATTCAAGCATTTCCTCTAAAGAGACAGGGAAATGCAATGTACCACTTGCAGGATGCACTAATTTCTCAGCTGCAATCAATGCAGATGTACAAAAGCTGGACACCTGCAGGAAAAAAAGAAAGGAACACAAGAAGTGAAATATACAAGTACATATATGAATTAAAATTCAGATTTAACAACTTTACATTCAGAGATTAAAAGAAATTAAAATAAGAAAAGAAGGTATAGAGAACAAGAAAAGGAAAATTAAATGGAGATTCAAAGAGAATGTGTTCTCACAGATTTTCCATCTAGCTCTTTTCTTCATATTTCAAGTAGCAGACCTACATAAAATTACAGTAAAAACTATTCAGCACAAGTTAAACCATTTACATAACACAACAATAACACAATGAAATGAATAATTCAGCACCTGTGTTGACTGACCTGTACCAAATGTGTTGTTATTTAGGGCTTTTATTGACACTGAACTTAAATGAAAATGGTACAAGCTAAAAAGAAATTAAATTCATCCAACAGATTTGGATATACCTCAGACCAAATAACATCCCNAGAGAGGGAGAGCAAGGGAAAGGACCAAAGGAGAAAAGACTTGCCATTGTTGTGGCATGACACAATCTCTGTAATGCCACAACAATGTCAAGTTTTTTCTCGTTTGGTCCTTTCCCTTGCTCTCCCTCTCCGTAATGAGAATTCAATCACTCTTAACACAGTTCATATGATTTTACATATTTTTCACATTTCTCTTCTTCTTGGTCCAGATGCAGACTTTGGAGGAAAAGGCAAAAAGGAACAAGCAAAGAGGGAAATTTTACATGAATAATGGTGTAAACAAGTTCAGTTATGATTAGTATAAAGTACATAGTCCACATCTTGTGTTATTCTTGTCCCCTGTAGTCTGCCTTCAATGTATTTTTTTGTCAGCATAAAGGTTTGTATCTTCAGCACTTCTGTAAAACATACTCACTTCTAGATTTGGATCACTGCGTCCTGCAGACAGCATGTGTAAAGCAAACTGTGTAGGAGGTGGCCAAGTTGTATGTGGCTCTAAGACAAGTGTGTGCAACAAACGATAGAGTTCAAGGCGGCATGCAGTGTCAGCATATGGGAATGGACGGTCACTGGCACCACTAGCTCTCTGGATGTCAAATAAAAGTCCTACTGTTTTTTCTTGTAAAAGCTGAAAACAAAGATGTAGTCAGACATTAGCATGTAACATTTTAAAAAATTTTAATTTGATTAATGTCTGAAGTGCATTACTTTCTATATATACAGAGTGATTCACGAAGTTTTAACCTGGCTTATGGTACATATTCCTGGGGTTATTTCATGCAAAATTTCTTTATAAACTTTTGGTCGATTTTCAATAGTTACGGAGTAACAACAGAATTTTGAAATGCATCAATGTGAATGCAGTGCTCTGCTCCCCTCCTGGGCGACCTTGCATTCCAGTCAGCTGTGTCAGCAGATAAGCTGACCGGCTGGAAGGGCTGGAATGTTGCACGATCCTAGGCAGAGTGATCGAGTAGTGAACAGGATGTTGTGTTGGTGACTTGGTGAAGTTAAGATGCCGTACACATTTTACACTGAGGAATACGCCGATATGGTGTTTATTTTGGGTGTATGTGATGGAAATACGAGAGCCACTGCTGCTGAATATCACCGGCGTTATCCTATTCGCAGGATTCCGAATCCAAAATCCATTAGCAGTACATTCAACACATTAAGACAAACTGGTTCTCTCACCAGCATTCGTAAACAATATGAACGAAATCCTCAACATGAATTGTGCGAAGAAGAAACCATTCTCGATGCTGCAGAGAGCATTCCGCGTGCCAGTACAAGACGTCTAGCTCAGCGGTTTGGTGTTTCTCAGTCCATGGTGTGGAGGACTTTTCATGAGAACAGGCTGCATCCTTATAATTTACAGCAAGTACAACACCTACAACCAAGAGACCGTGCTCTTTGTCTGCAGTTCTGCAACTGGTTAAATGGAAATCGGCAGTTGTACCGCTTGATAATGTTCTGCGACGAGGCACAGTTTACATGGGACGGGGTCAACAACAGTCACAACTTACATGTTTGGGCAGACAATAATCCCCGTGCCACGATAGAATCAAATTTTCAACACCAATTCAGTGTCGATGTCTGGTGTGGTGTTTTGTATGATCAACTAATCGGGCCATTCATTTTATTACATTTGGGGCTGGATGAAGGACATTGTGTACCAAGTAAAGGTACAAACATGTGAAGCATTGCTTGAATGTATTCTGGACGTGGCGATGACAATAGGGAACAAACGTGTGGAACTGCGAAATGCTACGAGCGTGGTTCATACACGTGCAATGCATTGTGTTGACATGCAGGGAGAAATTTTTGAAAATCTTATGTAAATCCAGTCGTCTTCTAAAGCACTACAGTTTAAAGGAAACAGATTGATAGAAGGGTGTGATATGCAACCACTGGTATGTTTACAGAATGGGATGCTGAAAATAATGTAATTTTGTAACATAAAATTGATGAAAAATGTTGCACAATGCAAAATTAAGAAATTGAAAAAAAAAATTGGTTTTAGAATGCTTCTTTCCTAAAACATTAATGATTTAAAATGTGTTTGTATTGTATTTCTAATTTGTTTTGACTGAAATTCGAAGAAAAAATTTTTTTTGCCAGTTTTCAAATTACTGTATCTCTTTAATTATGAGTTGGATACCCTTAGTATATTAATATTTTTTGTTCCAAATTACCTCAGGAATGCCCTCCCTAAGTGAGGGTAAAACTTTGTGAATCACCCTGCATATATTGGTAACCTGATAGAAGCCGGGATAGCAGTTGGTATAGCGACTGGCTAAAAGCTGGACGACCGAGGGGTCAAAGTTTGAGTCCTGGTAGAGTAAAGAATTTTCTTTTCCACATCATCCAGACCGAATCTGGGGACAACCCAGCCTCCTACACAATGTGTACTGGGGGCTCTTTCCCCAGGGGTAAAGCAGCTGGGGCTTGTAGCTGATCACTCACCTCCAACAAGTGCCAAGGTCAAGAAAATGTGGATCTATACATCCACTTCCCCATAGGCCTTCATGGTGTGCTGCCTAATTAGTTAAGCACAGGGACAACTTTACCTTTACCTTCTTTTATTTTTGCTAGTGGGGTGGGACTAAGTCCCTTGTACTGCGGCCACTTCTGGCCTATTGTACCAGCCCCATATGATAGGTGAAGGTGATTGTGGAGCAATTGGTAGAATGAAGATTGGCAGGGGGAAACTGAAGTACTCGGAGAAAACCTGCCCCAGTGCCACTTTGTCCACCACAAATCCCACTTGACCAGACCTGGGATCGAACCCGGGAAGCCAGTGACTAACCGTTTGAGCTATGGCACGGCCCATACCTTTACCTTGGTAAAGTATCAACTGTGTCTAGTGTAGACTGAGAGAGAAAATCTGTGTTTTTGTGTTGGTACCACATGGAGAATTTCTTTCTCCAGTGATGACTTGTTTTCTGAAAGTTCTCTGGTGAAGTCCTCATATGTGTGGACCTTTTGATATTTTAAGGTTTCGTCTTAGCCCTCGCAGATGGTTTGTGCTATGCTTGGCTTGTATACCCTATCTGGTGTCTGGAGATAAGGACTAGCTCTATTGATTGGGCCCAACTGAGGTGTTACGTGAAGACAGACACAGATCCCAGTCTCTAAAATGTTTAAATAAAAAAAAATAATGGTGTTTCAGATAAAAACATGAGGATGGATGTCCAGAAACATACANGTTACCTGAAGACAGACACAGAACCCAGTCTCTAAAATGTTTAAATAAAAAAAAAAGAAGAATAATGGTGTTTCAGATAAAAACATGAGGATGGATGTCCAGAAACATACATTTGTATCAATTTCCTCCTCCTCCTCCTCCTGATAATAACCACCATCACTCGAATTACCAGTACCACTGCCACTGTTATCCCTACACCAACTCCACAGCCACCATCATCATCATGACCGCCATATTTATAATAATCACACAGGTCTCATAACTGTTCAAGTGAGCAGTCTTGAATTTACAAAACAACAGGGTAAGGACAACACCTGATGCATAAGACTACTGTTCATTAACCCTTTCTTGCACTTACATAAAATTATATAAGCCTCATCATGCAATAAATGTTGTCCTAATGACACTGTCCTGTCAGTGGTCAGTGATGTAGTTGGCAAACTCAAAACTGAATCTCAGAGTAATTAATAGGCATGCATAAAACCTGAATTAAATATGGAATCATGAAGGACTTGGACTGGGAAACTTAGCTTCATCTCTTGTTAAGTTTAATGTTATATGAATGAAACAAATACCAAAATAAAAAATTGCTATTTTGAATAAAAATACAGAATTGTTTAAATAATTATTTTATTTTAGAAGTGCAAGAACTCCAAGTTAGAGTACTTGGAAGCTAATAATATTAATTTTATTTTTACTAATTCAGCTGTCAATGTAACAAATGTTTATTAATTTAAACTGCATTGCATGTTTCAACCCTTAATGGGTCATCTTCAGGTGCTCTTAGTTACAGGATTAATTACTGAATTGTAATGCATGATCTGGTTTGAATATTTCTTATCATTGTACGATATTATTAATTACCATATTACTAGTTTACATACATAAGCCATAAAGTGGTTATATTGTATGTATATTTCTTATTGTTTACTTATATACTACTTATTGGATACAGAATTAAATTGGGGTTTGGTATGAGTTTTTGCATAAAATTAACATTTTTTTAATTGAGTTAATATTGGTTTAAAAATGTAAAAAATGTTGTGAGCTGGAATCGGCTTTGTGTCATTGTGCTGTGGTAGATCAGCTTATCATGTTAGCCTATTCCAGAACTCTTCTATTATTCGTTGCTTTAATTCATTATGTTGCTGTTATTATGTTCTCTTTCTTGGGAGCCAATTGACCTTATTTCTTCTTCGGTATAGCTGCATGCCAATCTATAATGATTTTATGTATTCTAATAATATATTTTAAACTTTGCAATGGCATATCAGACATTAATTCCATTATTATAGTGCTTTTTTAAATTACTTACAGTTAATGTTATGTTCCTGTATTCAGTCTAGTTTATGTAGCATACTTTTGCTGCATAGTCTATACCCCTGCAGGTTGTTGTGCTTCAAAATATGTAGCTTACTGTCCTGGATAGGGGGAGAAGAGGGAAGAGGCATCAGGGGGGTTTGGTCCAAGGTATCGTAGTTGTGTGCAGTATCTAGTATGTGCTGGGAAAATTTTGGACTTTGTCCATTTGCTCGAATTTCTTTGTGTTCGTTAACATCATTGTAAATGTGCGTCCTGTTTGTCCTACATATCGGAGGGGGCAATCCTTACACTTCACTTGACACACACCGCTTATACTCTATATGTCGGTTGTTCTTTTATTTTTATATGGTGTTTTATTTTGCTGTAAGTTTTATACGCTCTCCTTTATGTTAGTGTTAATTAATCCTGTAACTAAGAGCACCTGAAGATGACCCATTAAGGGTTGAAACATGTAGTATTGTTTAAATTAAAAAACATTTGTTGCACTAATGGCTGAATTAGTAAAATTAATATTATTAGTTATATTCACGCAACAGGATGCAAACAATAAAAATAGTACTTGGAGGATTATGCTATCACAACAGGATTTGACATATATGAATTTTCACCTATTTTCACTTTTGTGAATTTTTATTTTAATGATTAGATTTTCCCAGTTTCCTGAAATTAAAATGTAATGGTATTTTACTGTGTTTGTTATGCAAAAGAACTGTGGGAACATCCCACATTATCACGCATTTCTGCAACGCTCGCTCTTCACATCACTTTTCACCATCACGCATGCTAACCAATCAATTCTTCCTCCTCAATTTCGAGTTTTGCTCCGCCCCACCGAGCAGTGTATAAAAAGGGGCGGCTCCAACGCCGAGTTATTCAGTTCATTCAGTTCCGCAGTTGACTTCAGTCTACGATCAAGCAACACCAGCCAGCAGGCTTCGTCGCCAGCGCTCGGTCTTCGGAGGCATCGGCAGGCTACGCCAGGCACGACTGCCTCGGCCCTCCGGCGCTCTCACACCCGACTCACTGGGGCACTGCGCCTGGACTCGCCGGTGGTTGTGTTACTGTCCGACCCACTGGGCATCTGGTGTAGCCACTGCCTCATGACTCCTACGACCATGCCCAACGACTAGCCTTTCACCAGCAGACACCGCGCTGCGATCAAGCAACCTTCAACTCACGCCGCCGCGCGGCAACCAAGCAACCTCCAGCCACGGCCGCAGTGCGGCCAGTCCACTCACCGCAACTAGCCTTTCGCCTTGCTGGCGCGCACCGCGCTACCTCACCGGTCAAGCATCTCAGCAGCCACGGTCCTTTTCAGGGCCAACAAACTGTTCCGAAGAAGTGGGTTGTCATAGGAGTAATGACAAAGACTACACATTAAGAGCCCCACAGAATATAATGGATCACCTTCTTTTTGCACCCAATGGTTCACTCAGTATATGACTAGGCTATGGGCTGGACAACCAGAGAACCATGGTTCAATTTCTGGCAAAGCCAAAAAATTTTCTTTCATTGCTATATCCAGACTGGTTCTGTGACCCACCCAGGCTCCTATCCAATGGGTACTGGGCACTTCTTCCCCAGGGTACTGCAGCTGAGGTATTCAAGCTGACCACTTACCTCCATTTAGTGCAGAGGCTCTGAAATTTCTTTATGACATGGTTCTTAACATGTTCACTACCAGCCTCTCGGTGGACAATTTAAATGTCAGAGTACTTTTAATGCATTCACTGACCAGTAAAATCCAGAAACTTGTAAACTATGATAGACAGGAATCTGTTTGCATGTGTTGCTGTCTGACCTGAGTTGGATATGGTAATCTGCACTTATCTGATCGCTGGTCAGATGGGGGAGCAAACGTGTTAATAAGCAGAGGGATAAATTTATTTTTATTTCAGCTTACCCTGTGGGTAGTGGGTTTGATGAACACAGCTGCAGAATGAAGCATCCACTGTAGAACTTGCAATGCCGCTCTACATGTCCTGCTATTAGATTTTTGATCTGGAATGTACTTTCTGGAGGTCTCTACACCTTGCTGTTGTTCTGATGTATTCCTCTTATGTTTCTGTTCTTTCTTACTGGAGATGTATTGAACCTAAATTAAATACAAAATGCTCAAAATGAGATACTTTTCCATTCTTTCCTTTATTTTGTTATATAAAAGTTCTATACACATGGTGTACATCAAGTGTGGACCACAAATTAGTGATCTGCATTCAGGAGGTCATAGTGAAATGAAAATTAGTTTTCGAATAATTCAGTGTCTGCTTAATCTCTGATTTAGCTCTAACTTATGTTTTCCTTTCAAAATGTATACAATGATTCAATGAACTTTATATGAGGCTGATGAGGAGATAATCTGGAGTAGAACATGTATGTAAAGTATCATGAGATGCATCACCCTTGTGGAATTGACATTTCACTATTTTTAAGAAAATGAAGTAACTGTCCATTCATACACACATGCAGTATTTACATTCAACATTCTTATTTATTACTTTCAATTACAACAAAAGAAAAGAGAAAGATTCTAAAGTTACCACCTCTTTTCAGTTTAACACGAGTGTCTGATTACGTAGTGGGACCTGCACAGATATGCACTTTGCCACAAAAACTGCCCAAAATTATGCATTCTAATTTGCATTTCACAATAACATTCGCTAGTCTCCCTGACATAAAGCAGTTGTCTAGATTGGCCCCTGATGTCTGCTGCAAGTACCAGAATGAACTATAAAGTCATTAGGATCTTATATTTCCATAGAACAAATTTTCTCTTTGATACATTCCAATAAGTAGAAACAGACAGGTTCAGATGCGAGCTAGTCCATGGATTAGCATGCACAACATGTGATAAATACTTCCTCTTCATTCTGCACATTGCATCTACTGTGGTCAATGTGTCTTTGTGGCATGAATGAACCTGTTTCCCTTAATGCAGTTCTAGCATTCCATCACTAAGGGTCTCATCTCATGGTCACGCCATAGCTCAAGCAGTGGCCTGGGTTCGATCCCGGATCTGGTCAATTGGGATTTGTGGTGGACAAAGTGGCGCTGGGGCGGGTTTTTTCCAAGTACTTCGGTTTCCCCTGCCAACCTTCATTCCACCAAACTCTCCATCTTCATAATTACCTGGGGCGGGCTACAATAGGCCAATCAGTGGCCGCTGTGCCGAATGAACCCAGTTGGACACCACCCCCCCCAAGCGAATCTCATCTCATTACCACTATTTTGCCATCAGAAGTAACGTGAGCCATAAATAAATGTAGCAAGAGCTCTGTTTTGAAACATACAGCTCTACCACATGAACACACTCAACCACATACAGGAACACCACATAACACATCAACACACGAAAAGACTAAAAGCTTGAAATTCCAGTGAATCAGACAACTGTTTGCTTACATCTTCTGGTCCAAATTATCTCTTCAACAACCTCCCAAAATTTGGATATAGGACTGTGAATCAACCTGTATATTTCCATTTATCAAATTTTCATGATTCATAATGCATCACACTACAGTGAAATTTCAAATTTATGATCCTCGATATTATGTTTTTGTAAATGTATGCACTTTTTGCATGGTTCTAGCCAAATGCCCATAACAATAATGTTAAACTTTAAGGGATTTTATGTTTCTGCAACTTTACATTTTTCCTCAATTTGCACTTTATTTTTCTGGTTCTATCTATGAAACTGTATCCCATTTTACAGTTTATATTTGAATTCTCACAATTTTTCTGCAAGATAACAGACTTCCTTCCTTCTGGACCCTGAAGATTGGGACTAGCTCTATTGATTGGGCCCAACTGAGTAGTCTCTGAAACACTGTGTGTTTTAAATAAAAACAGGACAATTGATAATGTCCAGAAACATAATAATAGGTGTTTCAAAACTTACTCACAAATGTAACATTACTTACTCCTTGCATAGTAACAATGAGCCTGACCATGAGCACTGAGACAGGCCAAAGAGTTGGCCACCAGGTCTGTCTCACTGACCTCACCAGGTAGCTTTACTGTTTTGGCCATTTAAATAGGGTTTCATGGTCATGAAGTGCACAAGGAATGAAAATAATGTTACAGCAGGAGTTAGACTGCTATAAATGACAAAGAAATGTGGAATATGGTACACTCACACTAAGAGCCACTGCTTCTTTTTCAAACCAGATATCCTGCAGCAAGCCTGAGACTAGCTGTTCAGATATGAGTTCCACACAACTACCACAGTTTGAAGTTTGAAGCCACAGCATCAATGTGTTGCAAGCTGCCACACGTAACTGTCTGTCAAACACACCATGGAATCCTTCATAATTCGTAAGAAAATAACTCATATGATAACAAAACCTTGACTAGGGTTAAGGAATCAATATCAGGGATAACATCGTCTATAAGTTAGTATTCCACAAAGCGGCCTCCGTAGTCTAGGGGTAACGTTCCCACCTCATGACTCAAGGTACACGGGTTCAAACCC